AGATAGATAGATAGATAGATAGATAGATAGATAGATAGATAGATAGATAGATAGACAGATACTCTCGGAAAAAAGTAATTGTCCCTAGATTTCAGGGCTAATTTTGAAAAGGTTATGATCGGGCTACATCAATAATCAAGGTAAATTATTTTAGCTATTTAAAGACAAAACGATATGTAAGGTCATGTCTTGACCAAAAGGTTAGTGCATACACAATCAACTCACGACAAGAAGGCTACCCCCCCCCCCATCCCCCAAAGTAAACAAAAAACACAATTTGAGCAGAATTAATTAGTGTGTATAGCATAGTGTCTTGCACTAAGCATGAGTGTGTCGCACAAATCAAAACCATTTCCGAATGTCAATGGACATGGCTTTGTGTTTTAACAAGATAATGCCCGCCTTCAAAACACAAATTATGTGATAAGAGCTCATCTTCAACAAAACAATGTGGATGTATTGCCGTTGCCTGCTGTCTCTCCTGATCTTGCTCCAAATGAGCGTGTGTGTGGGGTGAACTGGATCGAAGGCTCCGCAAAAGGCCAGTACAACCAAAACATCTTCATGAATTGGCGCAAGCTTTGCAGGAGGAGTGGACCAGCATGCATCAAATCAAGATTTAGCGAATAATTAGCTCAAACAGACGAAGATGCCAGGCTGTTACTGCTGCACAAGGCGGGCATACTCGTTATTGAAATCACGCTCTAAAGCAATGCATTCAATTTTCCTCAGATCGTGTTTTGCAAAACTTTTTTTTTAGAGGTGGTCTTCCTGATGTGAGTTGTTTGTTTATTAATTGACGTTTTGTTTAAAAACTAGATTCTAGTCTTACGTTCCGTTTCATCTTTGAATAAGCTAACAGAATGTCCCAGTATTTTTAATGTAACGCGATACCTTTTCTATAACCTTTTCAAAATTAGGCCTGAAATCTATGGACCGCCCCTCCCCCTTAAATCGGGATTCCTGGAGTGAGCAGATCGCATCGAGCAAATAATTGGCCAGAAAGGCGCCGGGGTTCCGCGGTCCGGCTGGCCCAACATACATCATGAGCATCCGTTAACCTGTCAGCTTTGCTCGACTGACTCATTCTATTCTCACCACCACAGCGATGGTGTCATGCTCTTAACGTATATCTAGAAGTAACAGCCTTCTCACTCATTGGAGATGCCCTTTCACGTTATCCGGCAACGCTTGAAGACGCACCATTTTGTGGCACTTTGAAAACATAGCAAAGCTTCTATTTCTGAAACAATAACATGCCTACTACATGTATGAAATATTCTGTGCCTCTAATTGGCGTATGATGGTTCGAAATGTGCATCAACGCTTCCTTGATTTACTACCGGTTGGACATAATATTATGTGTCCCATACATCCTAAAAGAGTTAAAGGACGTGGGGGGGAGGGGAGGGGGACACAGCTGATTGAGGAGGGCAGGCTCAGTGTTCTATAACCTTTAAAAAAATAAGATGTGTTTTTACAAACCCACCAACACACTATGACTTGTTTCCAACCCTACTTGTCAGGGCCAATTCAGGCTGAGAGGGATACATCCCAGCAAAAAGCTCGAGAAACTCGATAACAATTTCCTCCCAACCCTGGAATCGAACTGGGATTTTCTGCGTGCGGAGGGAAGCGTCTAACTACTACAATATCAGATGCTGGTATCCATAACCTTTATCGAGGTCGATTTGCGGGTTCTCAGAAATACAATCTGGACTCAGAATAAACTATACATTACATAGATCAAAACATTCAAGTCCTATGGGCGAACTCTTTCTTCTCCTCTAACATAATTTAAATCAGAAGGGGTGGTGATTTGGGTTAAGTTGTTTCATTTATTTTGTTATTTTATTCTTTTTTTTGGGGGGGGGGTATTTTTTCTTTTGTCTTACCCTCTTATTTAAATGTATACCTCAGGCAGGATTGACGCTCGCTGTTCTATTTGAGAGAATTGAACTCTAGACTCTGAAAGCAGTCCACATGCTGTATGCCATAATTCAACCATTTCGAGCAGTGGTCTTCAAATGAAGTCTTTGGAGGCTGAAGGTACGATATTGGAGAAACTATGTACACGTAAGAACGAAGATAAGAAAAGACAAGATAAGATACGATAGGACAAGACAAGACAAGACAACACAAGACAAGACAAGACAAGGCAGGATAAGATAAGATAATATATAAGCGATAAGATAAGACAAGACAAAACAAGACACGGCAAGATAAGATAAGATAAGCTACGATAAGACAAGACTAGACAAGACAAGATAAGACAAGACAAGATAAGACAAGAGAAAACAAGATAGGATCAGATAAGACAATACGTGTACAAGACAAGACAGGACAAGATAAAGTAAGATAAGATAAGACAAGACAAGACAAGATAAAGTGAATCTTTATTGTCTTCATTACTTGGCGTCATCATTTATTGTCGGAGCAAGCAAAAGAATATGGACACAATAACGGCCACTCAGTGCTGGGAAAAAGCACGAACGTCGCTACAAAGTAACGTTGTGGTAAGATCATGAAGACTTCTGTATCCTCTCGACAACAGAAATTTCTAATGGACAAACTGGGAGACGTCTTACGACAGGCTGGACTCGAGTTGTGCGCTAAATTTCTACTGATATGAGTTGAGATTACACGCACGCACACATGCACGCACACACGCTCTCACGCACGCACGTACGCACACACGCACATGCATAGAAACACAGAGACACGAACACACATATAAACACACAATCACTCCCCCCCCTCTCTCTCTCTC